ATACCTCGCCAGCTCCCTTACCCCTGGAGTGGGATAACTGACGTGTGTGTAGTGAGCCATTTGTTATTTTTGCGTGGCAGGAGTAAGCCCCGTGGCCAAGGTGGTCGCTCCGTTGATAACACACCCTTATTGCCTCATTCTCTTCTCTACTCACTAATAGTGTTTCCTGACATTAATCACCGTCATAATAAACCTCATCCACTTAAGTCCTCCTTTCTGGGAGTGCTTCTGGGGAAACCCAAACTAACACTGGGCTTGGCCCAGAGTAGGTGCTAAGTAAATATTGGCTCAATGAATGCATGAAACAATAACTGTGTATTGAGTGAGTGGGTGGGTGAATGAATATTTGTGTGTAATCCTTTCTCCATAAGGAGACTATATGCTCCCGGTAGGCAGAGACCACCTTCATAGTGTGTCTGACTTGTTCCAACAGTTCAGTAAAGGTTGCTTGGAATTAAATGACCTCAAAACAGCAGTTGGTAGAAGGAGAAAGTGGCCACATAACCACCAGGTTTTAATGAGGTGGAGGTGAGATTTCTTTGGGCGTTGTAACAAAGAACTTTAAAAGGGCAGGAGGAGTGGCAATGGCATCTACTTGTTAAGAATAAAAATAACTTTTCCTTATGAGAAAATGCTGAGAGTAGAGTAGAAAAAACCAAGGGAGAACCTGGAGTGTGCCATGAGCCAGGTCATATTTCAGGTGACACATCTTCTCATAATACAACATAATGTGAAGCCTTTAATGGGTTATCCACTTACTTTATTTATATTATTGATTCCTTTCCGACAACTTTCAGAGCTTCACTACCAGCCACTGTTGTTACCTGATCCTGATAACATAGTGGTTCTAAAAGCTGTCATAACTGAGGTCCCTGCTTGCCCTCATGCCCGGTGTCCTATTTTCTGTTATTTTTGCTGTTGGCTTTGTAGATGAGGGTTGTTTTTTTCTTTTTCTGGCATACAAGGAACCAGTTTCATTTTGAAGCTTTCTTTGTGAAGCTAAGGATGTGTGTGCGTGCGCACATAAATTAGTGCTGTATGTGCATGGGTTGAGAGGGTAGGGACCCATTATGTATCAGTTCCATGAAAGAAAGGGCAAAGACTTTTATAATCAGATCTATTGCAGGGGTCCATATTCCAAGACATCGCTAATTTAAATGAGATAATATATGTGGAAGCTCTTAGCAAAGTACATAAAACACAACAGATGCTCAATAAAAATGCGAGCCAAATTCAGATCTGAATGACTGCACCTTTTATTTATCCCTGCTGCTGCTTCCCTCTGTTGATATGAATGATGAGAGTGGTTTTTAATTTTTAGAGCTTTATGTTCCAATAATGATTTGCTTATTTCTAAAGCTATTTCTCTGTATTATAAAGTGTATTTCTTTGCTGTAGTACATACAAATGCAGAAGTCTAGTTTTGTAGGGTGAACTTAATTTAACTCAATATATAAGGAAATGGGCTCAATTCTTTGGGAAAAGTTACACATTTTTCTATCTTGTTTTTAATAATTAAAATAGAAAAAAATAATTAAAATATTTCCAAATATAAACAATGGAGAGTTCAAAGGAAATCAGAATATAATTACCCTTGAAAGTAGATTATTGTTTTGAGAATTTATGTGGAGAAAATGTTATTGAGACTAAATAGTACATGTCAAGCCCAACCTACGAGTCTGGGAGACCCCAAATATCCCAGAAGCAACTCAGCTCCCTTTCCCCTGCCCTGCTCCCTCGGCCAGGGTGATGCCCCAGAGCACTAGGGCACTGCAGCGCATGAAATCCCTTGTGATTTGAGGGCATGAGCCTCTCCCTGTTGAGGGGTTTCCTTCCATTCACTGGCAGCCAAGCAGAGCCCTGCCCGCCCCCATGTCTTGCATCAGCTCTTCATTCCCTTGGCTTGAAGCCTGTAGATTACAGTGGATCCTGGGAAGGGTGACACATTGGGGTCCATCCTGTATTAAGTTTGTCTTTCCTAAGGAGAGAGATGAGTGAAGAGAGGGGGAGTGATTACATAAGTGGTTGATGGTCTCAGAATTCACTGACAGATTTGCCAAGGCCAGACGTAAACCCATATTGTTCTTGGCCTTGTCTGTGTGGAACTGCTGCCCCCACTGAAGCCACAGTGAGTGGCAGCCTCTTGTCTACTACTTTTAGGCATGGTGATATAAACTAGGTTTAGACACCAGAGGGCAGGAATGAACAGGAGGCAAGTGGAGTGGCCCATAGCAAGAATGCTGGAGCTGGGCCAACGGGCAGAGAAGTAACTGGTTGTGTGAGCACTTATCCCTAAACCTGCCGTGTCCCTCTCTGCACAGAGCTGCACGGCCAGCACAGTCAGAGCCCTGACCTGTCTAACTGTTCGGTAGAGCCTTTTCAGCTACACTTTAACCCATTCCATTCTTCATTTATTAAAGGCTTCAGTTGGAATGAGCCAGGCCCAAAGATTTACCTTTGGAGAAGAGAGATGAAGTCCTGGTAAGACTTCCTAGGTCTATGTGAACTGCTTGTTGAGGCTGAGCTGTCTCTGTCCACTTGTGGTTGATATTTCCAGAAATGACTGAAGTCTTTTCTTCGCATTTGGAAGTGTAACTGTCCGTCTGTGGTCTCACGTTGGGATTGAAAAGCCAAGCATTTCTGCTGCTTCTCATTTCTCTAGGTCACTTTTCTGTTGCAAAGCCGTTTTGCTCATCAGGGGGTATGCATCTCCATCCATTGTCTTACCCTGCTTAGCAGAATGTCTGTGCAATGCTAATGCCAGCGCCTTACAGACTATGTATAGCATTGTCTAGTTTCAAAGCATTTTTAAATATTTTATCTCATTATGTAATGTCACCCTGGGCTGTTGCTTTTCCCCTGAGTGTATTTCCTCAGCATTTGCTCCAACTTGAGTACTTTTCTTTCTCCTCCTGTCAATTTTGAGTCTGCTATACAGGGCTTGCTCCCCCCGCCCCTTTCATATTATTTCCTACAGGGCTGTAAGTGGCAAAGAAAAAGGCATATCTAAATGGTACTATTTTCTGATGGTAAAGTGAAGATAACCTAAATGCTCTTTATAAGTCATCCGTGAGAATTATGTCCCGGTTCCTTGGGAATATACTATGAGTAGAAGTACTAAAAACAGTTTATCTTCATGATTATACCTACTCCCTTTTTCTAAATTGGCAAAATAGCTCCTAGAAATGGGGGGAACTGTGCAAGTTAGATCCATACTGTGTTTTTGTGTGCTTGCTTTGTTTTTATTTTGTTTTGCTTATTGTTTTTGTACTAATATTATTCATGCCCCAGTGGAGAAATAGGAATTGTATTAGCACCTTTTTTTTTTTTCTTGGACTTGTATGGTTGTACAGAACACCACTTTTGAAATAGAAGGTGCTTTAGGTTAAAGCTTGTAAGATGGTTCTGGAACTGTGTCTCAAAGTTTTTCTTAAGAGCATTCCGGAAACTCCTTTAAGGTTCACTAAGGCAGACCAAGTTGTTTCCTGAACTCAGTTCTCATTACTCTCACATCCCATTTCATGGCTCCATCATTCTATCCCCAGATGCTGGGTGCACCACAGATGCCTAGATTACTACTATGTCCTATGGTTTGTATCGTAGTAATACAAACCACAGGACATCGAGGTTGAAAGAGACCGAGCAGGTTGCTGTAAGCTTATCTGATCTTTGCATTCCCTCCATGCCATTCTCAAGTGTCCAGTGAGCCTCGGCCCATTCCATCCTAAGGCACTGGAAAAGTATCCCTTTTGTTGATCCCAAATCCTCCCTGTAGCTTCTGTACAATTCAGAAGACATCAAGTGCCTATCATGTACCTGGCACTGTTCTAGGGGCTGGAGATACAGAAGTAGAGAGACATGGATAACTCATGGATAGCTCTATCACTTAGGGTCATAGAAGACAAGCCAAATAGTTCTTATCCATGGACACCCTACAGACTGCACTCCTGTTCCTCTGAGTCCTCACTTGAAGCTAATATTCCCATCTATCCAGTGTAATACAGTTCAAATTCTTTTGCCATATAGATCAACTGTCTTTGGATGACTTCTCGTTTGAATATTTTTGTTTGTTTTGTTAATACTCACCTGAGGATATTTTTCCATTGATTTTTAGAGAGAGTGGAAGAGAGAGGGAAAGACAGAGAGAAACATCATGTGAGAGAAACACATCGATTGGTTGCTTCCTGCATAAGCCCTGACCAGGGCCCAGGCCGGGGAGGAGCCTGCAACCAAGTATGTGCCCTTGACTGGAATCGAACCCAGGACCCTTTGGTGTGCAGGCCAATGCTCTATCCACTGAGCAAAACTGGCCAGGGCTGAATATTGAATTGATTTTTAGTAGATTGATTTTTTAGAGTTTTTTTGTTATAAAGGTAATATGCACTTGGAGACATTTTAGAAAATATAGATACGTTTAAATAGGAAATCACTTGTAATCCCTTTACCCACTGTTAAAGTATTTCAGAGTATTTCAGCTTTTACTAACTTGTATTTATAATTTTGTTCCCTGTTTTCTTTACTTACCATTGGCATTTTTGCATTCATTATATTCATAAAAATTACGTAAATGCTTACATATTTCAGATAGACTTTTAATGGTTAAGTCATAAAAGAGTAGTAAGGATCCCTTATGTGAGCTATCATGCTTCCTTTTCCTTAAGCCCCCAGTCCCCTAAGCCACTGTCTTCGAGGACTACTAGTACCGTACGGAAGGAAGGTGCAGGGCTATACTATCTCCTTGTGGATTCTCCTAATGTGGATTTTTCTTGATAAGCTGCCTCTTTTTTCTGTTCGTTCTTTTGTGCTTCCTCATAATCATGCTCTGCCCATTTGTTTGGAGTATTGAGTTGACTGTAGCTTTCTTGTTACAACAGGATATTCAAGTGCCATTTCCAAGGTTATCTTCCTGCTGGGTTCAGTCTTGAGGAGTCTGTTGGAGCCAGTTCTGGTGGGACTAGACAACGGTAAGCACAGGGCTCACTTTTCTCCTTCAATTGCAGGCCTACAGCTGAACCAGAAGGCACTCACCACTTTCCCGGATGTGGTGCTTGTTCGGGTGTCCACACCCTCGCTGCAGTCGGACAGTGACATCACCGTCCTGCGACACCTGGAGAAGTTGGGCTGCCGCCTAGTCAATCGCTCGCAGAGTATTTTAAACTGCATCAACAAGTTCTGGACATTCCAAGAGCTGGCTGGACACGGGGTCCCCATGCCAGACACCTTCTCCTATGGTGAGTGTCCTTGAGATAAGGTTGCAGTTTATCTTTCCCAGTTGCATCTCTGTGTTTTCTCTCCCCAGTAGCCCTCGAGTGTTGGTTTTCAGTACGGAGCTGTTCATCTTAGATGATTCAACAACTTGAGTCTATCATGGTCATTCCCTCTGTCTGAAATGCCTTGCTTCTTTCTGTCTGTAATTCACCCATTAAATATGTATCTGGCACACACTATGTGCCAACCACCATACCAGCACTAGACTATAGCAGTAAGTACCAGTAAGAGTCCTGCCCTCAAGTCATTGCCAGGTCTTCAGGGGCAGAGACAGCAAGTAAACAAGCAAGTGCAGTGCAGTGTAGTGAGTGCCATGGTAAGAGTTAGTGCAAGGTGGTGAGGGAATACGTAGGAGAATTCTTAGTGAGTTTAGAAGATATTGAGGAAGGTTTCCCAAAAGAAATAGTATCTAAACTAAGCTGAAGTTATCCAGGTAAAGTGTGGGAGTGGGGGGAGGGGGGAGACAGGGAAGGACTCTAAGCCGAGAGAAGAATATAGAAAGACCTACAGGCAAGAGAGAGCTTGACCAATTGGTGGTATTCTGAGTAGTTTGTAGGATGTCAGGGAGACTGAGTTGAGATATAAGGCTAGAAAGATCAGTAGCCATATACAGTATGTGAAGGAGATTGGATCTAATCTTGAGACTAACCAAAAGTTACTGGGCTTTAAGCAAGAAGGTGGCCTGATCAGAGTTCAGAAGATCACTTTGGCTACTCTAGGAAGAAGGAATTAGGCAAAGCAAAGTGGAGACAACATATGTAGTAGCAGAGTTTTTAAACCATTCAAAAGAGCAATGATGGTCTAAACAAAAGTGGCCATAGTAAGAATGAAGATAAGTCAACAGATTCAGGAATTATGAAGGAGAAAGAAATAATAGGACGTGGTGGTTGCCCGGGAATGAAAATTTAATAGGGGATCTTGTCAGGGGCCCACCCCTCGTCTCGACTACCCTGTCTATTCTCCCCCCCCCCCACACCTCCTCATTCCACCCCCTTGGTGAAGTGACGACTTTTTTTGGTATTTTTTTTGTTCGCATAAAGAAAAGAATAAAAAAAAAACGACCCCATCCGAATAGTAGGCATCCTTGTCTCCCTTTTCACTTGTACCCCCCGCGAGGGGAATGAGGTAAGGAAGAAGAACAGGTACATACCAATAATAATACAACAAACCGATACCGAACCAGCCCTCATGACAGCGCGAACCACGTGTATAGTGGGGGGATATAGACACGACCGTCCCCCCAAGGATATTAATAATGACAATAGTATATATATTAATATGAATCGGTGGGTTTGTTCGTCTTTTACTGTCGTATTTTTATTTTTTTTTTCTCTCCGGGGGGGGGGGGGGGGGTTTTCTCTCTTCCCCCCCCCCCC